GGGAGAGTGTGTATTTGTGCGCCTCAAGCTCCAAGTCCAAGTGCTTATTATGTCTGAGTGGGGGCCCGTGTGTGTCTACATGTGTGTCTGTCTATCTCTGGGAACACACAGCCTGAACTTGGCTGTCTCAGCCTCGTCTTCTACTCTGGCCCGTATCCCTCCTCACCCTGTCTCCTGCTGTTGAGTAGAGGGTGAAACCAAGACCCAGGTATGGAATGCTGGGGGAAAGGGTGTTTGGAAAATTGGAAACCTGGAGTCAAATCACAAATCAAGGCTGAGTGACGATGGTGGGATTTAACTGTGCCCTCACAGGCAAATTTGAAAGGTCTCTCTTTCCCCAGCTCTGGTTGCCTCTGGAGAAGTCAGGGGGTGGGTCAGGATGGGAGGGCATGTTTTACTTTGGGAGGGCATCGGGGATCTGAAGTAAAGTGAGGCTTGAGGGCACATCTCTCCCTAGCTCTCAGTTCTATGCCTTCTTCCCTCATCTTCACAGCTGATTTGAGAGGAGTTGCTCGTCCTGGCGGCTACAGGCCATCGGAGGAACATCGGAGCATCGTTGGGCCAAAGTTTTCCAGCCTCAAGCCCCTGGCTCTTGTCTTCAAACCCGGGAAAGGGAGGTAAGCTCAGCATAACCACCCCTTGCCTGGCTTCCCTGTTGCTCTCCCAGTCCTGCCTCTCCAACCCCAAGAAGAGTTCTAAAGTCGCATCTCCTCTGCCTATGGAAAAAAGCAGAGACTGTTTCTCAACCTCCCGTTTCCTTTTGACCTCTGACTCACCCCCAACCTGACTTGGAAGGTGGGGAGCGGGGAGGACAGCTGGGAGCTCCACGCTGGTGGACGGGGCATTACCATGTGCAAATACAGGCTGCTGCCCATCTGCACCTTCCAGAAGGGCTCCTAATAAATTCAGAGCAGCCAAGTGACACACGTCTCAATCTAAGCTAATCCGACACATTAATGCCACCCTGCAAAGCCTGAAGGAAGCCCCTGCTGAAGGGGGAGGGGTGGCCGCGGGGTAGGTGGACCCCTCCCTCCCAGATCTGCAGCCCTGTCCCTCTGGTGCTAGCCCTTTTCAGACCAATGCCCTCGGTGCTCGTGCTCTTTCCTCTGCCACCAGAGGGGTCCCAAGAGAGCTAGCAAAAAAAAAAAAAAAAAGCCTCTACAGGGAAGCCTTGGAGAGGGGCCCCAAAAGGCGCCTGGGAGGCACTGTCAGACTCAGTTGGGGATAGGGAGGACAGCAGCACGGTGGCTTTAGAAGGCCATGCCTACAGACTGGTGGCCGGGGTATCTGGGCAGCCATAGGAGCAGACAAGGTCAGACGGCCCAGTGCTTTGGAACTTGTTTTGATCCTGGAATCCTTTCCGGAGAGAAACCAAATGAAATATCCCCAGGAAGTATCAAGGAAAGCAGAGCTGCCTAATTGAAGCAGGCCTAAGGAAGGCCAGGCTGCAAATCCAATCAGAAAAGGCAACCAAGACAAAGCGTCCGCCCCGGGAGGCTCACAAACCTGTTTCAGACCCCAGTTCCAACCCTTACAAGTCCTGTGACCTGAACCAAGTGACTTTGTGTCTCAGGTGCCTCACCTAATACTTCATCATGAGGCATTCCTGTGAGGGTGAGGAATCAGGTGGTGAAGCCCCCGTGCTAAGTATTTATAAACGATCGCTGTGATTGTTTCCATGGGAGAAACAGCAGGTTGGGTTGACAATCCAATCTGTCCCAAGGAAAGTGACTTGTTCGGGTTGTATTTGGCTGAGGGGCATGTTGAGAATTTGGGGAGAGTGTGGAGGTTGGTTTTTTGTTTTTGTTTTTAAGCTAGGAGGGTGTTGGGTATGGCACACCATAGTGAGCATTCTCATGAATTCAATAAATATTTATTGAGCTGTTGTCGTCTAGTGTGTATATCTGTGCATGAGACCTCTGAATACAAGCCCTTTCCCCCTTAGATTGCTTTCCCCACGCTCTACTCCAGGGCATCCCACAAGGCTTCAGGTCTGTGGTTGAGAAAGCGGGTAGAGAATTTAGGGGGGAACACGCCCCGTACGTAGAACACCCTGAGATTTTGACCACCATTCCCGCGGTCCGTGTCTTCTCTTCCCTGCAGATCCCTCCCTCCATGGAGTTCGGCCTGCTCAGCGAGGCGGAGGCGCGGAGCCCTGCCCTGTCGCTGTCCGACGCGGGCACCCCCCTCGCGCAGCTCCCGGAGCACGGCTGCAAGGGCCAGGAGCACAGCGGTGAGCGCGCACCCTGCCGGCAGCGGA